CCCAGAATAACAGGCAGCCGTGTCCGCCGAGGGGCTGCTGTGTCCTGAGTGCTCAGGGTGCGCAGGCCACCTCACCTGTGCACCTCAGCGACGGCAGGAAGTAGCGTCAGCATTGCCTCATCTCAGACGGGGAGACCGCGTCACGGAGGAGTCGTGACACTGACCGAGGGTCCCACAGTCCGCAAGGGGTTCGTTCCGGAAGTGGAGCAGGGGATGTCTGACCCCAGAGCCTGTGCTTTAAGTCACGGAATTGTTTTCCAGCCTCGGGTAGTGGCGGTACCCGAGCAACAGGGTGTGACCCGGTGTGACCCGGTGTGACCCGGTGTGACCAGGGACCCGGGGCCTGTGGACACTGAGACGCAAGGCGTTGTGTTTCTCTCCTTCTTCCTTCCTCCTCTCTTCCTGCATTCCTGGGGTGGGCTTTGATGCAAACTTGGGTGTCTCCCTCAACCGCTCTGTGCCTCCCTTTCCTTGTTTTTGAAGTGAAGGAACACCCCGCCTTTCCCACCACATGAAAGGAGCGGAGAGGCCGACGGTCTGGGAAGTGTGCACATCCACCCCGTATCTCGAGACTTCCTGGAACAGGTCCACCTCTCGGTGCTGCTGGACTGTGAGTGTGTGGACGACCCCGTGCTCTCGGACGCGTCGGTACTCGTCGGCTTCCGTGCTGCGGAAGGAGTAGGAGGCGTGGGCCCGGATGGGCGACCTTGACGCCGTCTAAGCTTTGTCCCCCACGCGTGAACGGCTTTTGTTTATATCTCTCCACAGCCATGAAGGCCAGAGCTTTCTTCTGACCAGGATGATAGATGAACGGGTCAGGGGCAAACAGATGAGGGTCCCCCGTGTGGGGACCCGTGAGGGCTGGGAGGCAGTGACATCCATTCCAGTCACTGTCCTTCCTCCCACAGAGCTTGTAGCCCTGCAGACTGGGTTCCTCTCTGTAAGTCTCGGTTTTCTTTCCTGTAAAACTCAATAGGGAGACCACGGCCAGGCTGCTCAGTGGGTTAGAGTATCGTCTGCATCGGCCCATAGGTGAGGCCGTGACCAGGCCCCTCAGTGGGTTAGAGGATCGTCCCCATCGGCCCATAGGTGAGGCCGTGGCCAGGCCCCTCAGTGGGTTAGAGTATCATCCGCATCGGCCCATAGGTGAGACCGCGGCCAGGCCGCTCAGTGGGTTAGAGTATCGGCCCCATCGGCCCAATAAGCCAAGGCTTTGGGCCCCATCTCTGGTCAGGGCACACACTGGAATTTACCAACAAATGCCTAAGTATGTGGAACAACAAATTAATGTTTGTCTGTCTGTCTGTCTCTCTCTCCTCTCTCTCTCTCTATCTCTCTCTCTCTCTCTCTCTCTCTCTTTCTCTCTCTCTCTCTCTCAAATTAATAAATTTTTAAAAAATTTTAAACTTGAGTAGTGGTTTCCCCCACGCTCTGCAGTCTTGGGGTTCTCCAGTGGGACAAGGTAGCATTTGGGGGCTCACCACTGGAGTCAGCCATCAGACCATCCATTTGTCTGTCAGTCTCAATTTTCTTTCCTGTAAAACTCAATAGGGGTTTTATGCGATTGAGTTCTGTCTTGCTTTTGTCGGAAAAGGGGGCTCCCTTAGTTAAAAAAGGGGGGAGAAAGTTTGAAATAAATTTCTGGCCATTTGCTCTGAGTGCCAGTCAGACAGCCTCCCGCTGTCCGAGGTCTAAAGAGACAACTGGAGGCCCCTCTTCACGCTGCTGGGATCCCAGAGTCCTCCGGGGAGGCCGCTGTTCTGGCCCCGGCTGCTGGGGGCCAGCTGCTGCTCCGGACTGCCACCCGATGGACACTTGCTTCCTTCTCGCTCTTAGGCAAAGCCATGCGGCAGTTTCTAGCTCCCGCTGCCCAACCCTGCCTGGGCCCACCTGGGCATCTCCAAACCACCAGGGAGCCGGCAGAACAGAGAGGCTTCCTGTTAGTAGGGTGCACCCTGCTACGTCAGTGGGGATTGTAAACAGAGGGACCTCTCTTCTGCTCTAGGACTGCAGGGTATGTACAAGCACATTGCCCAGGAGGCCAGCGTGGGGGGAGGGGCTGAGAAGTGCCCACGGTCTGTCCCTGGGGAGTGCCGGGCAGTGCAGTTTCTGCCTGGGGGGAAGCGGAGGTGCCTGCTTGGCGGCTCTCCCCAGGGCTCGGGTGCAACCAGAAGGGAAAGCAGGTGGAGACAGAAGACCAGTAGAGCCTCTTCCGGCAAGGCGGCACCCCGGGGTCTCCGGAGTGACAGGAGGGGACGAGGCATTCACAAGATGAGTGCGCAGCCCCATCAGGACACCCAGGACCCTGCCCCCGTGTCAGAGGACTGCAACCCCTTGGGAAGACCTTGGCCGCCACCCTTTCGGAGAGGTCCCCCTGCACTGCCCCGTCTGACTACGTGTCCAGGGGTGTTGGCTCTTTCTGGCGGTCCCTGGAGGCAGGGCTGCGGTTTGCTTACCTAGCCTGCCCCCTGAGAAACTGAGTGACTGCGAATCCTATCGAATGAGCAATAGAAGTGTCATTTTTCAGTCGCTGTTTAGTTTGCTGCGCTGTGATGGCTTACGGTGGCCGTGCACGAGGGCCTGTTTTCATCCTCACCCAAGGACAGTTTGCATTTATCCTCAGATAGAGCGGGAGGGGGAAAGGAAGAGAGAGAGAGAAACATCAACGTGAGAGAGACGCATCGAGTGGTCGCCACCCACACGACCCCAACCAGGGCCAGGGACAAACTGCAACCGAGGCACGTGCCCCTAGTGGGAACCGGACCCGGGTCTCTCCGGTCCGGGGGCCGACGCTCTAACCGCCGAGCCAACCCGGCCAGGGCCTCCAGGAGGACTTTAAGCCCCACTTCCAGCACCCTGGAGTTACTGGCTGCCAAGGTCATAACTCCTTTCCTTTCCCAATATCTGAACTTTGTCCCACTTCTCTCGTCTGAGAATGATTCTGTCCAAGTATCTCGTTGGCTTCTCGTGCCAGATGTTTCACAAGCCGGTCACACAAGGCGCGATTACATCGTTCCAAGAGCGTCACCAAATCATGAAAGAAAAAACATAAAGCAAGAAAATTTTCCAGCCCGTACCTGCTTGTGTCACACTCGTCACTGCAAGGGGCGGGGTCGGCGGCTTGGCCGCAGGGAGCTCTCTCCTGCTGCGCCAGGACACGCTGCCCGTGACCAGGCGAGCGCGTGCGTCTCCGGCCTCGCCTGAGCCGGGAGGGTTTCTGAGGAATGTGAATGTAAAATATTCTACAATCACAGTGAAATAGCCATTTGATGATTTTCCAGAAATAACAGTGAAAATTGGTAAAATACACTTTTAAATAACTCCCTGAATGTTTGTGCATAGCTTTGTTATTCTCACCTGGATTTTAAGTCCACCTGTGTGATGAGCTGTGACGTCCTTCTCTAGGTGACTCTGTTTATCCCCAGATTCAGTCAGGGGTCAGGGGACCGCGCGCTCCCAGCCTCACCCCTGCACGGGGACGGGGACGCACAGGGCTGCAGGCTGCTACGGGCCTCGCCTCACCGGTCCAGCCACGGCCGCGGGGCAGCTAGCTACGCGGAGGAGCCAGCAGACAGGCACCGGGGCAGGGGGTCCGTACACAGGGTTGGTGCACTACATGATCCACAACGTTCCGTTTTGAAAATAAAGTGTCAAACCTGAAGAGACGCAGGAAACGGGACCTTACGCAGAGGAAGAGAGAGGCTGAAGGAGGGCCCGCGTTGGACACGTAGGGACCAGACTTGTCTCACTACTGATTCTGCAGGGAACACGGGGCACGATCGAGGACACCCGGACCCCGGAGTCAGAAGATCGGGGCCCGGTCATCGCTCTGAGCGCGTCCAGCAGTTCACACGGGGGTGAGCTGCCAGCATCCTCGAGCCTCCGTTTCTGACTCATCAGATGCAGTTAGCGGGGCGACGGCTGACCTCCCTCTGTCCCGTTTGTGGCGCTGCATTGGCCGAGCTGGCGGGCTCACAGGTGTGGACGAATGCCCAGGTCCGCTGCAGAGTGCCCCCCGAGTCACCGCCCGTGGCCCCCCGATCTCCATTCTCACAGCCTGCGGGCTCTGTGTTCTGGGTCAGAGCGGCTCCCCGGCCTTCATCTCTGCCCCGAGTAGACTAAGCAAAGGTGAAGGGCTGCCCGCACCCAGTCAGCACCAGGCAGGCTCCGGTGGCTCCGCAGTAACGGTTCACCCCTTCTCCTCCCAGACAATGTCTTAGCAGATGTTGGCTCCTGCACATCCCGGCTTTGTCCTCGTCCTTGGACAGTCCATAAAAACACGGACCACCTCACAGACGCAAATAGGAATACGCTAACGTGACGTATTTCTTCTGAGGCGGCGAAGTTTCGATGAATCCTTCCCTTCCCCTCCTTCTACGCTGTCTTGGCATCTGCACGGAGCCCGTGACGTCCTGCGATGCGCGTGAAATTGGTGCCCCTGCTGGTCATAAGACCAGGCCGCGCACCGGCTGCGCGTCCGGGGGCAGCTGCCCTGCTGTCTTCGGGGAGCGCGTTCTCCTTTTACAGCAGCTTTCGTGCAAGTTTCACATTTCTCTCCCGGCCACTGGTTCTCAACCCTCCTAACGCCACGACCCTTTGATACAGGTCCTCGTGTTGTGGCGACCCCCAACCATAACGTTATTTTCGTTGCTACTTCATAACTGTAATTTTGCTACTGTTGTGTCTTAGGCGACCCCTGTGAAAGGGTCGTTCGACCCCCAGGTTGAGAACCGCTGCTCTGGGGAGTGTTTCGGGCATGAGGTCTGCAGGCTCCAGGCTTCCTCTGGGCTGCTTTGCAGTCAAACTCAAGGACCTGTAGGAGGAGGCAGCCAGGCAGCCTGTGGGGAGTGACAGCTCCCAGGGTGGGGCCAACGGGGCCTCATGACTCATGCGCTGTCTCTCATTGGCCAGCAGGGTCCGTGCCTGGGCCAATCACAGGGGGCCAGGTCGTCATGGCGACTGGCACGCTAACGCAGCTGCACAGCAGCATCGGGGAGGCAATGGCTCAGAACCTGTATGGTCACGGGGTCCGGATGGGCAACTGGAACGAGGACATCTACCTGGAGGAGGTGAGGGTGTGGCTGGGTGGCTCCCCCGCTGCTCAGGGACCCCCAGGCCTGCCCTAAGTTCCACTGAACTTTGAGCACCCCAAGGCTCCCTTCTCCCCTAGCACCTCCCGAGTATCCCCACACTCCCCACCGCAGACCATCCAGGAATCTCACCTGCGGCCCCACTGACCCAGGTCTGTGCCCTTCTACCCTTTCTGTGGGTCCCTTGCCTCTGAAACTCGGTGCCTCGAGTCCAGCTCTCTGCCCCGCCCCCCCCCCCGTGCCCCCCCAAGTCTAGAGCCCTTCTGAGTGCCTTCCCTCCGTCCCCTGGAGACTCACAGTCCCAGAGGCTGCGGTCCAGGTAGGATGGTGAGGAGGCAGGCTGTACACAGAACGTGCCCCCCACATGCCCCGCCCTGTCACAGTGCCCGCTGAGTGTCCCCCTGGTGTCCCTGTTACCAACTGTCCACTCACTGCCTTTGATTCTCCCGTGGTGGCCTCGATGAGGCCCTGGGCCATCCTGTGTCAGACTCGGGGGGACTCCAGTGTCAGTCATCACACCACTGGGGGGCACATGGCCTCCAAGCGTAATCATGACTGTCCCTGCTGGGGTAATTATATGTGATGTTTCTCTTCTGTGTCTGTGTCATTTTTTCTAAACATTGTGCAATACGATAAAAATGTTAACGTAATGTTACAGAAATCTTCCACCGTTCCCTTTGGGTTTTGTTCATTTGTTTTCCCCCCGGCCAGGAGCTCATGAAAGATTTCCTGGAGAAGAGGGATAAGGGGCAGCTTCTCATACAGAGAAACAGAAGAGTGAAACAGATGCTTCTGGGACCGGTAATGTTGAATTCAAACACTTTCAGAATCCTCTCAAGCCAAGCGTGAGTGCATGTCAAGCAAGTGGGAAATCCATAAAGGCGCGATCATTTGGAAAGTGCCAGTTTTCCCTTTAGGTCAGGAAACCACGATGTTTAAAACCCCCCAGGATTCAAGACGCATGAGAGAAGCTTGCTATTACGTTGGCCGGCATTACGATGGGACTACCTTGATACTCCGATTAGTAAAACGCCCCTCAGTTGGTGCTGGAGAAATTTTCAGTGGATGTTGAGTAAATTAACAATGGGCTCAACCTCGGTGGTTTTTGTTGTACTTCGTTTGGGTTACTGGGGGGCTTGGGTTTGGCACATTGGGAGCAGGTTGGTGGCAGGAACAGGAAGGATAGGATTTGAGACATCGAGTGAATCCCTTATGGAAACGGTCCTAGTCTGTGCAGGAAACGGGGTCCGTCGGAGATGCCCTTGCACTGCCATGAGGAATCGCATGGTTTAAACAGAAACGCGCCTTCCGATTGCAGACCCGGCTTTCTGTGTCTGAGGATGGCTACATCCACACCGGCGACAAGGTGATGCTCGTGAATCCGGACCACCCTGAGGCGGACGCTGATGTGTTTCTCCGTGGGGACCTGAGCCTGTGTCTGACTCCAGATGAGATCAGAGCCCACCTGAGTGACCAGCTGGAGGTGCCCTGTGGCCTGAGCGCAGCGCCAGCCATGAGCCCGGTGGGCAGGAACACTTTTATCCTTTTGAGGTGAAGACACTTGAAATGTCGTCATCCGTGTCTGTTTTCGCTTGTAGCCTAAGGATGTGCTGGGATTGGAGCAGGGTTGATTGAGGTGGAGGTTCTCTGAACATTCTTGCTTTATGACCTTGAGAATGATCGTCAATGGGCCTTTACTGTTCCTTTACTTTTTTTTAATCCTCACCCGAGGACATTTTTGCGTTTATCTTCAGATAGAGCGGGAGGGAGAGAGGGAGGAAGAGAGAGAGAGAAACATCGATGTGAGAGAGACACAGCAAGTGGCTGTCACCCGCACAACCCCAACCAGGGCCAAGGACAAACTGCAACCGAGGTACATGCTCTTAGCGGGAACCGAAACTGGGCCTCTTTGGTTCGTGGGCAGACGCTCTAACCGCTGAGCCAAACCGGCCAGGGCTACTGTTCCTTTACTTTAAACACCAGGATAATTTGCAATTTGTGTTCAATTCAAAATGCTTAATTCGAAGGCATTTTTGGGTCCAGGGAATTAAATTTATATTCTGTCTAGAAGCAGACTGGGTTTTCCTAATAACATCTCAGAGCGCTTGGAGCTTACTTGGGGGCTCTCGTTGCTTTTCATGTTGCCATGTTATTTTTACACCAGAAATATATTATTTAATGCAAGGTGGCGTAACATGAGGATTTGCTACTTTAAAATCCATCGTCCGCTACAAATGTACTTGAGGAGATTTCGAAAACGAGCATTTAAATCCTTAGAGAATAGACACTTAGTAGTCATTAAAAACATTGCTTCCACTCTGTTGCTAAGTTGTGATGGCCCTACTTATATTACAGGAATATAGTCTCTAAGTCTTTAGATTTATTTTGAATACAGGTAATTTACATGACGGCAATGTCTAAGGTTCCTGGAGGATTGAGAAGGAAGATAGTATTAAACGTCGGCAAACGTGTTACCTTGGTTCTCTCTAAAGACCACACTGCACCTGAGCCAGCTCCCTCGCGTAGGGTAGCATGATGTGCTCCGTCCACACTCGGCCAACCACGTGGGGACGCTGTGCGTTCTGGCCATGCTGGAAGGCGAGGCGTAGGGTGCTGGCTGGATTTGAGGCTTTTGTTTAATGACTCAGTTCACTAAAAAACATACTGAGGGGTTGAGGGGTTGGAAGACGGATGATTTGTAACCTCGTGTTAATGCATTCTCGCTGTCTGGCCAGCCCAGGTGGAGTTGAGTGCTTCATCTGCATGTAAATAAGATAAGGTTTGCATGGGTGGACTAATGGGTCCTAGGACTCAAGAATGTCTGTGTTTGTTATCTTTTAGTTTCAAAGTCTCTTTCCGCTCATAAAAAGCAAGAGACAAAGCTAGGCTGTATAGTTTACAGAGACGCCATCTCAAGGAAATGATTTACATAAATCCAACTGTGACCTGGGGGGACCAATCAGCAAATAAATGGGACTGCGTCCAAAGGTCTGGAGCACTTGCTCCCTTGCAAAGCTCCCCCTCACTCCAAGCAGCGTGTGCTTGGAGTTCATTGTGTTGCACCGATCCCGGCAGGCCGAGAGACGGCAACGGACACGATCTAGACAATGACGGACTAAAGTGCACACACAGAACACAGAGCTGTGGAATGCTTCCCACTCAGAGAAATTACATGATATTTATTCTTCACCAACAGTGGGGACGGAGAGGCTGCCGGTCAAGTCCTTCGATACGGGCAGAACTTTCGCCTCGGGATTACAGGGGGATTCGAAGACAAAATGGTGAGTCGTCACGTTGCCGGTGTACTTGGGACGGGTCGCTGTGTTTCCGTGTGGCTAAGGGCCACCTCCCGAGTGGACAGAGAGCTCTGTACGCATGAGCTCCACCCCTGCAGCGTCTCACAGGCAGCCTGGGTCCGTTCTTTCTTTCTAACTTCTCAGGCTTCAAAGATACACGCTTAACGTGGGGGAAACCTTGTCTTTGATGCAGCTGGCAAAATAAAAATGCAGGCCGCCTCCACCTGTAAGAGAGATGATTAAATCACATAATAATAATCTGACCGCCCTCTGCGTCCCCGGTGCGGGATCTGACAACTTTGACGGTTGTCACTCTTCTGTCTGAGGTGAGCGCAGAGCAATGTGAGAGGCTTGCCTTGGCCTACGTCAGCACCAGTCTTTGATCTTGACCCTGCCTGGGGGCCAGGAGGTGAGGCAGAACCAGAGAAATTTGGGTTTGACTTCCGGCCGAGACGCATACGGATGGGACGGGACTTTGGGTCAGTTATTTCACCTTTTTGAGTCTTTCTCATCTATAAAATGGGGCTATCACACCTCACTGCCTGCTTCAGTGCTGCCGGTACATGAACTCATTTATTCCCCCAAACCGGTCCATGACGGAGGCCCCATTTGACCCATTGTATTGCTGGGGAAACTGAGGCACGAGGCGGTTAGGTTGTTTTGCTCCAGGTCACTCAGCTACTATGGGGCAGAGCCGGTGCCATAATGCTTTTTCAACCAGGCAGAGTCATTATTGTGTGAAGTGGCATTATGACTGTTCTCGTCACCATCGTCATGGTCTCATGCCACTAAGTAACGTCGACTCTGGCCGTTAGACCACGACACATCGTAGATGGTGAGCTGCTGCCTGATCTTAAATGTAGAAATCAGAGGAATTATCCAAATTGTCCAAAGAGGGGGAGTAAGTCAGCATTGTCTTTCTTTCCCAGAGGTGAGCGCTGTAGCACTTTGGCTTATGGTCTTCCGTAAAGGGAGAGAGAACAGACTTTGAATGTAGTGGAAATTACAAGAACAACATTAGATACCTTTGCTTCCCCGTTTTTGGCTTCTCTCTCCTTTTTCTTCCTTTCCTTCTTGTCCGCCTCCCCCCCCCCCAACCGTCTGTTCTCTGGTTGATGTTCCATTTGGGTCGACTTACCTGCTCTAAGACACATCGCAACAGCTTGTCATGTTTGTTGCTGATATTTCTTTCCTCCCACTTGCTACTTGGCTTTTACATTGTCGCGGTTCTACTACATTTCTGAGTGAAATCTACCAGCGCTTTTCTCTGTCCTTCCTTCCCTTACCCAGAGCCTTTCAAGCCGGCTCCAAAGATACCGTAAAAACTCTCCGCGGTCCCGGGAGCCTTGGAGCCGCAAGTGTCGGTGTCCATGCTCGCGTTAGCAGATACCTGGGCACTCCCGGGGCTAGTTCCCGCGGTGACCCTTTGTTCTCAGAGTTATATTAAGAATTAATCTTTGAGTTAAATGTTAGAATTATTTTTGTCGCGTCCTTCTGCCCTTAGGAAACGAAATCGCGTGGTATTTTGATTGGCATTCCAAAATTCCGTGCATCCACCTAGTGCAGTGTTTATTCTCCTGGAGTGTCTCCCCGCTGATTCAGTGATGCGCTCATCTCTCCGCGAGCTCCGTGGTTTGCGTCACGGCGGTTGGAGGCGCTGGGAGCCCGAGGTGGCTTTCCCGAGGTGGAGAACAAATGAGTGTTCTCCTATGACTGCTAAGAGCAAGGATTTTGAAACCGCTTTTGAGCACACTTGCCATCAGCCAGTTGATGGCTTCCCATTTCGCGGACTTTCCACGTGTAACGTAGCTCACCTGCTTGCTGTCCTTTACAGTTATTTTTGTCAAGTGACCACAGGACCCTCCTGAAGTCGTCCAAGAGGTCCTGGCTCCAGGAGGTGTACCTGACAGACGAGGTCTCCTACCTGAACTGCTGGCAGGCTGCCTTCCCCGACCCCCAGCTGCGCCTGGAGTATGAAGGCTGCCCCGTCCCGGTGAGCACGGCCTGGGGGCGGGCGGGTGCTGCACGCTGAGTGGAGGCAGCTGCCTGCTGTCCGAAGCCGGTGCTGCCGGGACTCCGAGGCCTCTGTGCCCGTGTCCTCTCTCTTCACGCCTCAGGCTCGGAGGGTGCCATCTGCCCCGTGGCAGCGTCCTGCCACAGTGTGTCTCAACTCAGTCTGTACCTTAGAGTCAGCTACGGAGCTCCAGGCCCTGCCCCGAGACTGGGCTGAGAACCCCTGACCTGAGATTGTAGGGACACTGACGCTGCTTCCTTCCAGGCCTCTGTTAAGTCCTCATTTCCAAGGACACTGGGAAACCTGGGGGTGGGAAGGGGACAGGGGGGCAGCCGTACAGGTGAACACAGCGGTTTCCTTCCGACTGCGGGGCGTGTCCTCCGGACCCTGGGCCCTGCAGGCGGGGGGCGAGGCCAGCAGGCTGGGCCAGTGGCACGGAGCTGTGTTGCCGGCCAGAGGCATTGCTGCTCACCCGGAGGGCATGCAGAGCGGGGCGCGGTCGGCAGTCATCGGGAGAGAGTGGATTACCAAGGGCTGGCCGGCCGAGGTGGCTGTCCAGGAGGGGCCCCGGTCACAGGTGCTCTGAACCCCCCAGGCACAGTGCCCTTCTCCCGAGCTCGGCAGTGGACCCGGGGCTCCGTGTCCTCGCATGGACAGTGTGCTCCTGGCCCACGGTGACACGCTCGGCACGGTGCCCCTCCGCCGGCCTCGCCCAGCTCTGCTCCCTGGGGGCTTCCTGTGTGTCTGTGACTAAACTCGTCCCCTGTCCTCATCTGGAACGGGCGTGACACCACCTCAGGAGGTTCTGCGAGGGTGGCAGCTAGTCCACCTGCGTGCTTGTTGGGGAAGTGGGCACTCGGCTTAGCCCGTTGTCATGTTGTTAGTGTCACAGTGGTTGACGGGCAGGGGCCCAGGCCCCAGGGACTCCTCCAGGGCAGGTGTCTCTGAGCCCCACTCAGACAGTTTGCAAAGTGGGAGCCCCCAGACCTGCCCGAGCTCCCTGGCCCTCCAGCCAGAGACCATCTGGAGCACCGGGGGTGAGCAGGCGGACCTTGCTGCAGACTGGGGGGCCTGGGGTGGGGAGGGGGCGGCTGGATAAGGGGTGTCAGAAAGGACAGTCACAGCGCGTGGGATTTCAGGGAGGTGGGCTTGGCTCTGAGCAGATGGGGTCAGGAAGAGGGTAACTGCACTGGGTACCTCCCCAGCGTATCCATGGAGGGGCGGGCCAGAGCCAGGCCGCTGTCAGTGAAGCCACAGCCTCACGCACCCTGCTGGGAGAGGCGGGTGCCCCTTGGCCGGTGCCCTCCGGTCTGTGCTCAGTGTGACTGCAGCCGGTGGCCGTGCGGGAGCGTCCTGTGAGGGCCGGGCCAGCTCCCCACGCCGGCCGGGTCTCTTTCTCCCGCACTGCTTCGAGCTTACCTCAGTCAGGACTTGGAAACGAGACGTATTGTTCCTGGTATAAGCGTCATGCACGCTCACTGTTGTGGACGAAAGGGGCCACGGGCTGACGCCGAGCTCAGGGAGGCCTGCCTGGTAGCCCTGCATACTCAGAGACCTGAACTCGCCACAAAGGAGGCCCTGAAGTGGAGACTTAACTGCAGGCAGTTGATAGCAGGGAGTCACGTCCTAGGCCTGCGTCTTCCCTGACAAAGGCCAGTTTTCACCTTAACTGAGCCTATTGTCTTTCTGCACCTCGGATGACCTCAGGCAGGCTAGCTTCCCTTTTCCCAGTGTGTCAGGGTGGAGACTGCTGACAGTCCTGGCCCCACCTATGTAAAAGAAGCACGTGTCTGTCCTTCTACTTTTCCTCCAAGCCCAGAGGCCCCCCCACACTGCTTTCTCCCGCCTCCCTGATCCATCCCCAGGGTCTCCTGTAGCCCTAACCCTCTCCCCCTCTGACCGTGATGCACGGAGTCAGGACGCCCTTCTCTGAGCGTTGTCTCCGCCGTCCGCTGGGGTTTTGCTCTCCGGCAGTTGTTTCGGTTCCAATACACTCACAAAGGTGGTTCTCGGATCTAAATGTTTCTGACCTCAGCTCCGTGGAAACTCAGAAAGAGACAACGAATCGCCTGAAAATTTCCAGTAGTTCCGCCTTTCAGAGGAAGTCACTGTTGTTTATCATTCATGTCTTTTTCTATACATACGTTTTTTATTTAATTTCATTTAGTTTTTTTTTTATTTTATAAAATAAGGCAGCCCTGGCCGGTTTGGCTCAGCGGTTGGAGCGCTGGCCTGCGGACCAGAGAGTCTCGGGTTCAGTTCCCGCTAGGGGCACGTACAAAAAAAATTAAAAAATAAAAAATAAAATAAAGGCATCAGGAATATTCTTTTTTTTTTTTTGCAAATCCTCACTTGAGGATATTTTGCCATTTATCTTCAGACAGGGTGGAAGGGAGAGAGGGAGGAAGAGAGGGAGAGGGAAACATTGATGTGAGAGAGACTCATCGATTGGTTGCCTCTCGCATGACCCTGACCAGGGCTGGGGACCAAACTGCAGTAGAGGTACGTGCCACTGACTGGAATTGAACCCACAACTCTTTGGTCCGTAGGCCGACACTCTAACCACTGAGCCACACCAGCCAGGGCAGGAATGTTCTTTTTTTTTTTTTTTTATCCTCACCCGAGGACATTTTTCCATTTTTTTGTTCAGATAGAGCGGGAGGGAGAGGAAGAGAGAGAGAAACATCGACGTGAAAGGGACACATCAAGTGGCTGCCACCCGCACGACCAACCAGGGCCGGGGACAAACTGCAACCGAGGTACGTGCCCTTAGCGGGAACCGAACCCGGGTCTCTCTGGACCGCAGGCCAACGCTCTAACCGCTGAGCCAAACCGGCCAGGGCAGGAATGTTCTTATTGTATTCACTTAATAACACCACTGACAGCCTGGCCAGTCAGCTGGTTGAGCACTGTCGTCCGGTGCACCCGACGGCTGTCAGTTTGACCCCCAGTCAGGACACCTGCCTGGGTTACGGGTTCCATCCCTGTCAGAGCGTGTACGGAAAGCAACCGATCGATGTTTCTCTCCCTCACTCACTCCCCCGTCCCTTCCTCTGTCTAAGCATATCCTTGAGTGAGGATTAAAAAAAACACTCCACTGACCCATGTGGTCAAAGGTTGTCTCCAAGATGACTTTGAAGGGTTGTGTAATGTTTATCCTATGTGTATTTATTATGGTTTGCCATCTAGGTTAGTGTGTGTGTGTGTTAAACTAAATTGAAATGAACGTGTAGTGCAGTCACAGATTTTTGCTTTTGAGAAATTGGAGGCCTTAACTCATCATGCAAGCGACACCCTCTCTCTATCCCGAAGGCGAACGCCAGCGTCCTCATCAATCACTGCCACACCAACCGGGCCCTGGCGGCCCACCGGCATCTCTTCCTAAGGTGCGGTGCTGGGGGCGGGCCCCTGGGTGCCCTGAGGGCTCCCCTTCAAGTGGGCATCGTGCGGAAGTCCTCTGATGAGGGACACTGTCCCAGAGAACTCTGCTGGCGGCAGGACCCTATCGGAGCCCCTTCTGTTACTCAGGCGCCTGCACCTCGGGAGGGTTTAGCCATATGGGGTACCCCCACCCCAGCCCCCATCCTGCAGCCTTGCCAGACAGGGTGACACTTCTGGCCACATAGGCTGTACCTTAGGGCCCCTCCCCAGGGCGCACAGCGTCTGCTGAGGGCGGAGCTTCTGAGATGCGGGGACGGGGTGAGAGCCTCCTGCACCCCACAGCTGCCTTCTCCCCGCCCAGGACCTACTTCGGAAAGGAGGTGGAGGTCGCTGCTCACACACACCTGGACGTGCACCGGGTGGAGAAGCCCAGGAACCACTGGATGCTGGTGACCGGGGGCCCCAGGGAGGGCGCGCCCACCATGTTGGACGTGCGCAGACGGCCCCTGGAGGGCACCCCTGGAGCAGGCGGCGGCCCCAGGGCCCAGTGACACGCCAGGTGTGCTCTCGTCCAGTGCGGCTTTGCAAGAAACCAGCCGCTGTGGTCCTGCCTGGCGCTCTTTTTAAGATTCTGAGCTCTCGGAGCGCTCTGTTGGAATGAGACTATATGACGACTGTTGAATTGGGGGGGGGGGGGGTGTCTAGGACACACACTAAAGCATCCTGGAGTAGCTCAGAGTGGGATTTGAAAGCGACAGGCGAATTCCCAGCTTCTGCTGAGAGCCCGTGCCGCCGCATGGTCTCCGGCTGTGGGCCGGCGTGTACAGCTGTCTGCAGTGGGGCCCCCCGGACTGCTCTGCGTGCGGCCCCCCCTGTCCCCTCGGGCGCTGAGACCCCGGCGTCCAGCGAGCTGTGGCCCCACCTAGGAGCTGTTTCCCCTGCGTTGTTTCCACCTCTGCTTGGGGGCTGGGGTCTCCCCCTGGCCGGTCACGTGTTATTTTGTAGTGATTTTTAAACTACAGCATCTCTTTATTGCTACCTATCTGTTTTTATTAATCCTCACCTGAGGATAATTTTCCATTGGTTGTTTTAGACAGAAGGGAGGGAGAGAGAGAGAAACATTGATGTGAGAGAGACACATCGATCGGTTGCCTCCCGCACGACCCTGACCAGGGCCCGGGATCGAACCTGCAACTCAGGTACCTTAACCAGGAATCGAACCCATGACCCTTTGGTCTGCGGGCCGACGCTCTAACCACAGAGCCACACCGGCCAGGGCTGTTGCTACCGATCTCCGGAAATGCCACATCAGCAGTGGTGCCCACGTGTCACAATACACGTGTCCTTCCCTGTATCTGTCCATCTGTCCTGCTGTGTCAGGATCTGTGGTGGGGAAGGTGTCCTCATGGGTTGAACAGACCCAGCCCCATAGGTAACCGTGAGCTCTAAGGCTGGTTCCCGCAGAAATACACTGAGAGGCAGGAAGTGAGGCAGAGGTGAGGTAAACGCAGGTTAGACAGATGCGCCTTCAAGCCGGTGTGGACGGACTGTCTTCGGGGAGGCAGCACTGCCGTAAGGAGCTGCAGGCTGAGGGCTGAGACCCCGTCCTTTCTGGGCATTGGATTTGCCCACAGAGTCTCTGATTTACTGGGCAGCCAGGGTTGGAGCCCTGCGTTGGGGAGGTGCTTCCCAGTGGGCCCACGGTTAAGTGATTGGCTCAGGCCCACACAGCTGTCACCACGCACGACCAGTCAGACCTAGACCTTCTGAACCTCGGTTCCTGACCTTGGCACTCTCGACTTCATGGGTCCCCTTCACCGGTGGGGGGCTGTTCCGAGAATTGAGATGTCTGCGCATCTCTGCCACCTGCCCACCGGGGGCGGTAGCACACCTCTGCCGTGACCACCCCAAATGTCTCTGGACACTGCCCAGTGTCCTCTGGGGCTGCCACTGCGCCAGGGCCTCCAGGCTGTCTTCATTCACTGCCCACAGAGGATGCTGAGGGTCCCCCCGCCTCTACTTCTACTTGCTCTATGGAGCGGAGAATTTGCCGTCTCAGGTAACTTCCAGGAATGCTAAGAATCTGCACTTAGCATTGATCTGGGCATCGGGGTAACGAGAATTTTGTGCGGGTTGGCCCTTGAGGGCAGGTTGAAGTGGGAGCCATGGCCTCCAGGGGGGCACACGAGACGGCCACCGAGCTGTGACAGGAAAAGCTTGTAGCTCCTAAGAATGTCAGGAGTGTGACCTTCGGAATGCGCAGACGTGTTTTCTGCTGCTCAAAATGTTCGTCTCTGTGTGCAGGAGAGTTCGATAGGCAGGCACGGGACAACGTTTATAAATATGTGTATAAGACCCAGGAATAAGTGTCTGTGAGTGAGTGTGTGAGTGTGAGTCTGTGTGTGTCTGGCGCAGGCTCAGAAGTCCCGGGAAGGGTGTAGGGACGAACGGGAGGCCCTTGTGTGCTGCGGGTGCTGGTGACACGGCAAATGCCCCTGAGTCACTGTTGCTGCATAGCCGTGTCCTGAGTCATGGACACAGGCTCCCCAAGCCTTAAGGTTCACTTTTGCTCAATCGGACCAATGTTTACCAATCAGTTAGCATCTGCTGGTGCCCTTGCCGGGGTGGAGGGGACAGTGAGAAACCGGGCAAAGACCCTGCCCCGGGGCGGGGGGGGCACCACCAGTGTGACTGCCCGAGCCAGCGTCCAGGGTCCCGGTGGAGAGCAAGGCAGTGACTCACGCCCAGGACTGCCCAGGACGGGACGGCTGTCCTCAGATGACATGAGCCGTGAGCTCGGACAGCACCGCCCCGGGCAGGCGGCCCTGCGGCCCTGCAGCGGTGAGGCGGGTCCTGGCCAGGGGAGGGTTCACAGCGGGCTGTGTGCAGAGCTGACGCTCAGCGGGACCCCGCCAGACGGCACGGCTGTGAACAGCGCCCCCGCCTCTGGGTGGAAGGTGCTCCCGACCCATGCTCACACTTCCCTGGGGGGACCCCTGAACTTCCCCACAACCCAGCAACTTCAGAGTAAATGCTCGCCCCTCGGGGGGCCTGCGAGGCCCTGACCCGGCACAGGAGCCTGGCCTGAGTCTGTTTGAGGGGCTGGTGCCCAGGAATACGGAGGAACAACGGGCAGGTTGTCGACAGCTCCGAGTATCTCTGGGTCGTGTGTATCACGTCACTGAATTTGAAGTTCTTCTTGAAGGTGACAGTCAGCCTTTGAAAGTTGGAGGAGGGAAGTCGAGTGACTTTGAGAAAGATCAGTGTGGAGGCAGCAGGGGGAAGAGGGGTCCCGGGGAGAGGGGCTCAGCACTGAGGCAGGGGGCCTGTGGCGGGGGGGGGGGGGTGAGAGCGAGGGAGAGGACCCTGCAGAGGTGGGAAGGAAGGGTGCTCAGTTTGTGGTGTGTGCCCATCTCTGAGGTCCCAGACACAGGACAGTAGCTGTGCAGGGAAGTCGGGGTGCTGCCTGGGGATGTCTGACCCTGACGGAGGCTGTTTCCCTGCGGCTGTAGCTGGAGCGCAGGTACACGGCCTTCCCGGGCGCGGGCACCTGCTGGGCTGCTGGCCCACCAGGAACCGGTGGAGGGCCGTCGGCAGCGGACACAGCCTCAGGCTAGAAGTTGTGTTCATCGTCCTGCCGGGAGGCCAGGAGCGGCCCCCTGCTGGCCCGGACGTGACTGAGAACCAGGAGTGGCCACCCGCTGGCCCGGAGGTGACCGAGAACCAGGAGCGGCCACCTGCTGGCCAGGACGTGACCGAGAACCAGGAGTGGCCACCCGCTGGCCTGGAGGTGACCGAGAACCAGGAGCGGCCCCCTGCTGGCCCGGACGTGACCGAGAACCAGGAGCGGCCCCCTGCTGGCCCGGAGGTGACCGAGAACCAGGAGCGGCCCCCGCTGGCCCGGAGGTGACCGAGAACCAGGGCAGCACCTGTGAAGTGGGGAGCGATGGCCTTTGAGCAGTGGGCAGTCTGGGGGCTGAGCGGTGAAGCTGGTCCCAGGGCGTCTGTGCGTAGCCTCCCCGTTTCCCTCTGCCTCTTGCGGGAGGTTAGCAGCAGAGACGTCCATGCCGGAGCCCCCGTCTCGCCAGCGGGTGAACCCAGCGGTCCTCGCTGCCCGTCTCCTCCAGGCACTGCGCCGGACCCTGGGGCCCAGGGAGGAAGAACCGTTCCTGCCTCCAGGCCCTCCACTGAAGGGACGAGAGAGGCTGTTCCTGTTGTGAAAGAGAAACAGACAAACAACCAGCAGCGTGAGGGGAAGCGGCTGACTTGGGCGAACACGGGTGTTTGGGAAGCTGTCAGGCGTTGGCTCTGTGGCACCGAGTAAGAGGAGTGGGGAGGGAGGCACGGGCCGCAGGGCAGAGGCCGGAGGGCGCCCGCTCCTGAGGACAGGCCCGGGCTGGAGGGTGTGGAGCGGCCGGAGGCCTGACCGCGGGGACAGCAGGTGAGTCCCCTTCTGTCTACTCACGTCCAAGCCCAGGCGAAGACAGTCGAGTCGTGGATAAACTGAGGGGACATCCTGGGAGCTCTGCAGGGGGCACGGCTGCTTTGCTCGGAGCCCCAGCTAGGGCCTCGTCGATCCCATGATGACCCGTGACCCGGGTTACCATGGGGACTCACTTCCTGGGGGCCGTGGCCGGGTACCAGAAAGAAGGTCACACGTGAGAGGACAGACTTCCCACTCGAGCAAAGGAAGGGCTCGGACTGCTGGCTGCAAGAGGAGATGGGCGTCCGGCGGGCGCTGCTCCCAGGTTCACGTGCGGACAGCAGGCGGCCCGCTCACTGTCCCCCCTCCGCTGGAGGGCGCTGAGAGGCCGCGTGGCAGCTGGCGGCCCTGCCTGGTCGTTGTACAGGTGGGGAAAGGGGCCGTCGGAGAAGGGACACGCCCCAGGCGCAGGGAGGACAGCGCAGGGCCCGCGGACCCCTCTGGCGGGCAGTGACTGCCGCCGCCACTGCTCCGCACCCGGAGAGCGGACCTGACCCCGTGGGACTCAGCCTGGAGTCTCCGGGAAGCCAGCGCCCGGGTCTCGGTGGGTTTGGTCTTGCCCTTCTCAAACGTGGCCAGAAGAGGTCACTGTTACGAACAGCCAACCCCTGCGGTGCTGTGCTGCTGACGTTCCCTTCAGAACAGAGGGAGCTTCCCGATTCCAGAAGGCGCATTTTAAGAGGGGAAACACCGTAAAAGCCAGAGTAGCCGATCTTCGTGTTCCTTACAGAGAGGGTGCGAGGCCCAGCTGCCTTGGCAGCGCTCCAGGGGCTGTGCCGGGGCTTCCGGCGAGAGTGCAGCCTCTCTGGGGCCTTCACAGACCTTCCGCCCGAGTCCAGAGCCCGCCCCAGGGAGTCGTCTCTGAACCCAGGCCTGGGGGCCCGGGGCCCCGAAGCTGCCCAAGTGACCCAAGTCGTTCAAAGGGCAATTTTTAGCCTTTCCCAGGTCCGTCCCCTCACCAAGCCTGTTTCCTCTTCGGGTTAATAACTTCCTCAGAGAGTCGTTGGAAGAGGCAGTGAATTGAGGACATGTATTCGAGAGAGGCTCAGGGGACATTGGTATGACCCCTGGCTGTGGGTCAGACAGCACAGGGTGGACACGGGCCCCTTCCTGGCTGTGTGACCTTGAAGTCACTGCACCTTGAGCCTCCATTTGCTCCCAGGTTTAAAAACAAGGCAGACGTGTCCGTCTCGTGGGCTTGGGGATGGGGATAGAGACTGTCAGTGGCAAGACCGTCCTCGTGTTCCTACTACAAGGGTCGGCACTTCCTTCCCCCTCACTTTGCAGCCGAGGCCCAGAGGGGAAGGGGGGGCAGCACCGCAGTGATGAGCGCCCTCTGCCCCAGCTCTGGTCACTGCTCGATCCCTGTGTGTGCGCCTCTGTCCACGCTCGACTCTGAGCCCCCAGGGCGGGAGCTTGTGGGGAGCTGCTGCCCAGTGTTGCAATATTTCCGACACAGCTAACGTTTGTGGAGCAGTGACCGGTTCTAAGCACTTTTCACGTGTTAGCCACTGACTCTCACGTGAAACCCGTGAGGGCGTACCGTGATCCTGTGAGTGTGACGGGCACCGAGGCGTGGGAAGGTGGATCTGCCTGTTGCCAAATGCCTCAGGGGGACAGCCAGGCGGCCTGGGGCGGGGCCGAGCCCCTGACCCCTCCGTGGTGCCCGTCTGAGGCCGAGGTCCCCAGGTTTGGTTGGACTGGCGCGAAGCAGTAAGGTGGGAAACGAAGCCACAGTACAGTACATGACGGGGGCGACCTCGGGGCGTGTGCAAGTCTGCGCAGACCTGCCGTCAGTGCCCTCCGTGGAGGCCAGGAGGCCAGCCCGCGGGGCCTCGGGGACCTCAGCTCGCGCAGCGGGGTGCAGTGGTAGGGCTGTGGGGAAAGACGGGCCGTGGGCAGCTCTGCCCTGCAGGAGGCCGTCACAGTGCCAACACCACAGGCTGCCCCGACGCCCGGACCCTCGGTCACCTGGCATACCCCACCGGCCTGGCCCGTGCTGCGGAGGTTCATCTCAGGCACCAACTCTGCCGACAGGTCGAGGCTTGGAGCCCCGCGCTGGGCAGCACTGGGGCCACAGCCAGTGAGTGCAGAGAGCCTTAGAGACGGCCGTGTGTCCGGGAGGGGGCCGGGGGCACCGAGTAGCCGGCGGGCCCCACCCCGCCCTTCCTGGTGGACCCGAACCTGCAGCTCCTCCAGGCCTCCCCGGGCGGCCAGGCTGCCTGCGCTGGGCTGTGGGCTCCGTCTGGGGAGCTGGCCCACCCAGGCCCCCACCCTGGAACACTGGCACCCTGTGCAGCCGCTGCCCCTCCCCCCATGGGAGCGGAGCTGGTGCGGCTATGGCTGTGGCTGTCCCCAGCTGCCGGGCAAGAGCCTCCGCCCTTCCTGCTTCCCTGCAGCCTCCCTGCGCCGTGTTACTGTTGGCCGAGGCGGACAAGGTTGGCCGTGAGCCAAACATCTGCTCCTGTCTCCCGAGTGTGCTCCCGGGCAGACAGCAGGAAGAGCACCACCCTGCGCTGAAGGGCCAGGGCTGGGGAGCTGCCGCCCTGGACACGGCCGGGCCGGGGGACCCCGCGCGCAGACCCGGTCTCTGGGGGCCTGGGCGCGGGGAGCAGAGGCCTCTTGGTTACACCCTCCCTCCTCTGGAGGGGCAGGGCCATGCAGTGGACGGGAGATGGAGGTCATAGCAGGAGGGGGACGGGGTTTGTGTTGTGGTCCCTCCTGCCCTGGGAGAAGGGAAGGGGACGAGAAGTGCCCTGCTGGGTGGGCGTGGGAAGAAGCTGCCTTTATGGTTCCCTGGGAACAGACCCCCGACCTGCTGCGTGCAGTTTATGGGGGCGATGGGAAACAGGGAAGAGAGGGAAGGAGGCCTATAAAAGGTGCTTCATCAAGCAGGTGACGCTGGGGACAACTGAGACCTTATCCCACCGAGGCCCCTGACAGACACGACGAGCCTCGGTGGCCCCAGTGTGGGGTGGGCAGGAGGGGAGATGGCCCTTCGCCCCCTCGCCCCTGACCCTGGGCTACTCCCGGGCACCCAGCTCCTGGCTCTGGCCTGTGGCCCACAGGGGCTGCGGAAGAGCCGCAGGCGAGCGTCCCTGTGGGGGTGGGAAGTGCCGAGGGGACACGGCCGCACCCAGAGACAGTCCTTGGTACAGGAAAAGGGAGGCCAGAGCGAGGGGCGGTAGGCACGGCCCTGCCAGTTCGCTCCCCCTTTCTTGCTCCAACACCTTCCCCCTTGGCTGCCCCGGTCTTCTCTCTGCTCGCCCTGGCTCTGCCGGGCAGTGGACACTGGTGGCAGAAGTCTGGCGGGAGCGGTCAGAGACCTGCTCTCTCCTTTGGCCCGGTCAGGACCGCCTGGTCCTTCATGGTTGACCTGGCTTCACCTCAGTTCTCAGTGGCGCTGTGGCTGTCCCGGGCCTCGGGTGTGGCCACTCTGTCCCCGCCACGGGTAAGCTGTGCCTCCTCGCGGGCACAGCGCAGGGACGGGGCGCTGCCCACCTGCGTTCGCGTGGTGGCTCCCCTCTGGGGTGTGCAGGTGGCCCTCTCCCTGAGGTGCGGCCTGACAGGCGAGTCCAGCTTCAGAATTCCTGCGGACCGGCCCACAGCCACCGGGTGCCCCCACTCCTCCCCGAGCCCGCGAATGGGGTGCTCTGGCTGCTCCCCGCGAGGTGTCAAGGGGCAGCTAACTTGAATGTCGACGTCAGCAGCTGGCAGCCGGCTGCCCGCTGGCTAAATGCAGCCTGCGCGTGTTACTGTAACCAGGTCTGATCGGGACGCGGCCTCGCCTGTTCACACACACAGCGCCTGTGCCTGCTCTGGGGCAGCCGTGGCGGCTGAGTCCTTGCACCAGACTTCATGGCCCTTAAGAAAAAGTTTGCGTGTGCCTGTCCTTGAAGTCTGGCCTAAGAGAACCAGATGCTGGATGCAGGGGAGCCGGGTGCTGCGAGGGGGGGCTGCGGGCATCTCCCCGGGGGGGGGGGAAGGAGACGGCCTGGGTCCCGAGGCACCTGCGGGAAGGCTGCCCGGCAGAGTGCCCGGCGCCATGTGGGTGAGGAACAGCCTGTTGAGGGGCTCACGTGCCGCTGCTGCCGCTGAAGCCGCTCGGTAGAGTACACGTCACATCTGTCTCGTAATTCAAACAAAACTGAGTTTATACTTGAACACGACACATATGCAATTACACCATTTTAAATTTACATCACGAGCAGCCTCCCACACTATGTAAAACAGCCTTTGAAAACAGCCTTTGATAGCCCCCCAGTATTTCCTTGGACTCTCTCATCGATCACGCGCAGCGTTGGGGACGGGAGGGGGGGGAAGACCAATTGCTTCCTTCCCTGTGTGTCATGGGTCACTTAGACCGTTTTTCCAAAATACAGCGTAGCAACATGGTTACCCCTTGGAGTCAGTGCTTCTATTTCTGG